GTTTTCTGTAACAGCAATACCATCATTTTTAGTCAATTTCCCAAATATGTGCAATGAACTTTTACTCGGTAGAATACATAAATCTTGATGTTGAACTGCAATTCGAATTTCATCACTATTGTTAAAAGAGGATGAAGCATACGGTTGATGAGCATGAATTTCATAATGAGCTATTGACTCATCAAAATTCACTGCTGCTGGAATGTTGAGAATTTCGTCCATTTTTGTTGCAACAACACCCAAAAAATATATAAATTATTTGTCTTGACGTTTTCCTTGAGGTATAACTTTTAGTCCTAGTTTTTTCAGGAACAGGCGATTCTGAGGTGTTAACACCTTGTGAGACAAATTTAAACTGATTTGTCTTTGGCATGTTGGCTGAGTTTTATAGTTTCCACCAACTTTTTGATTATATACAATTCCCATTACATTGACTTTATGTGCAATCGGATAGTTATAGTTTCTCCTTGAAAATTAATCAAATCACCGTCCTGATCGACAATGCGGAGTTGAATATTATGTATTGTCTTGACAACAATCGGAAGGTAAATGACGTGTGCTGGCACTTCCACAATCTTATATCCTGGTGGAACGCTAGGGAAGAATTCATGGATGGTGTGGGCCTTTTGATTATTTATATACGCTCCAGATGTAATGCTACACTCAACTCTGACTGAATTTACCTTGAGAATTGCTACAGGTAAATCAGACATGTGTGTTTCATTAGGTGATAATTTCCGTGGCATAAATCCCAATAATTTACCAATTGAATCTTTATGTTTAAAATCAATTGGTAAATTTGATTCAACTAAACTGCGTAATGTATTGTTATTAGGTTTTATACTAATAACAGTTCAAAGTTTCACAGAATCTTTTATACATGTTTCAATATCTTTAATTTCATAACTTCCAGTTGGTATATCAATTATATGATTACCAATGTAAAATTTATTGTTACCTTCATCAATATTGGGAATAGAATTAAAAGTCAGTAATTCAACAAGACCGAGGACATAATTTTTATTTGGATTAAGTTCTATTGGTGGGAAATATTCAGCTTCAAGAACTGAAGTGTTTCCACTTAGTGTTAAAGTAAACGAATCACTCATGATGCTGTCAGTTTCTATACTAAAAGATTACAAAAGTTACATGTTCTTATATAGACTAAAGCTGCTCTTAACATTAAGTTGTTTACATAAAAATTTTAAACATAAATGTCCACATACATAAGTATCATAACTTTGATATCTCTCATGATTATATTTTATTAAGCTACCGTCACCCAAGTATGTGATTAGATCTGTTGGTGGAGGAAGGTTGCCAAAACTATCAAAATACATTATTTCGTTATTACATTTTTTATATGCCACCCAATGTGTTCCTGGACCTTCTTTATTATCCAAGTTAATAATTCCAGACTCATATCGATAAGGTCCTTTAAAATGTAGTTCATTTCGCATAAAAACTCCTCGAAAATATGGTATTTTCATAGTTTTAGCATATTTCAACAGATCAAAATCAGTTAGAGGACGGTGAGGTAGCTTCAATGCAAGTTTTTTTTCTTCCTTAATGTTGGTTTCTTCTTCTTTTTTAATCCTTTTCCCTGAATGTAGGGTTTAATATGAAGACCAAGTCCTTGTCGGTAGGGTTTGAGATGTAAACCTTTTCCAAGAGATATTGCTTCCATTGCTTTATTATGTCGTTGAGCTTCAACAAGTTGTTCCTTGGCAGTTTTAGCCTTATTTACAGCTTTCACTATACCTGAAGCTCCACCAGCAAGAGCTCCCAAAGCACTAAGTCCAGCAAAAATGGGAACTAGTGGTAAAATACCACCAACTTTAGAAGGTACAGGTAGAATTCGCGGTGATAAAATTTTTGATTTACCACCAGCATTCTTTATTGCTTCTTTTGCACCAATCAGAGCAGCTTGAATTGATTCTTCAGAATTATGATTGGGTAGCATACTTTTTCTAGCAGCATCAACAACTCTTCGTAATGCTAGTCGCTTTTTCTTACACATGGTTTTTCTTTTCTTCTTCATTGTAGACTTTTTCTTCCTTTTCATTCCCATACCTAATGTTGATTTAGCTTTCATCGTTCCAGATATCGCTAAAGCTGCTGCCTTTTCACTGATACTAGAATCCTTAGCTGTAACACGTTGCCACGCCTTTTCAGCTAGCTCTTGGTCTGCAACGTTTCTTGCTTTAATGTTTTCTTGATTTTGCGAATATGCAATATCATGTGCTTTACATGCAGCGTCTAATGGGTTAACACCTTTATCACCACGTGCTAATCTTTTTGTCAACTTTGTACCGGGTCCACAGAATTGGTATCCAGGTAAATGTAATTCAAAAGGTAAACTATTGATAATACGGTTAACTAACCCTCTACCACGACAAAGATGTTTTTTATCACTTCGATGTAAAATCATTCTACACTCTATGAAGTTTGATATGCAACTGATTGTAAGACTATAAAAGCCTAGTATTTATAGTTTTCAGAGCAGTTACTGTCAAGATGCAGTTCACGAAACAACCTGTAGCACTCCCAATCACAAGTATTGACGTTGAAAGTAGTGAGAAAAAAATTCAACGTCATGGTAGCTTGTTTTCAGATAGCATCCGAGCTGTCTTTTGTGGTCCCTCAAATTGTGGTAAAACAAACGCTCTTCTCTCTTTAATCATACATCCAAATGGTTTAAGTTTTGAAAATATTTACCTATACTCTAAATCTCTGCAACAACCTAAATATCAATTTTTGAAAAATGTAATTCATGGCGTGGATGGAATTGAATACTTTTCATTTAGTGAGCATGAAGAAGTAGTATCTCCAAAAGATGCTAAACCGAACTCAATATTCATCTTTGATGATATTGCTTGTGAAAAGCAAGACAATGTTAGAGCTTTCTTTTGTATGGGTAGACATGTAAATGTTGACAGTTTCTACTTGTGTCAAACATATGCTCGTATTCCAAAACACTTGGTACGAGATAATGTAAATTTACTGGTGCTTTTTAGACAAGATGAAAAAAATTTAAAACATGTCTACGAAGATCATGTAAATACAGACATGTCTTATACTCAATTTCGTGATTTATGTTCAGAATGTTGGAAATCTGATAAATATGGATTTGTCGTTATTGATAAAGATAGGAATTTTAATGAGGAAAGATATAGAAAGGGATTTGATTGCTTTATTACACTATAAATATAACTACTTTATTTCATTTTAAATTAGTATAGTTTATGTTATCAAGACGAAAACATGTATCGAAAAGAGCAAGAAACACTTCGTCAAATAGCAAAAGCAAGCGACGCTATTAGACGAAAACATCGCTTACTTAGAATGGGTAAAGAGGCTGCAGAGACATTGTTAAAAGAAACTCTGCAACCAATAGTTACACCTCTTCAAAAGTTGGCAAATGTAACTGAAACTCCTTTCAAAAATGTTAAAATTGAAAAATTCAAGAAAGATGATAATGATTTCTCTTTTTCAACTGCTGTTGACGATGATGAAGAATTAGATACAACTCTACTAAATTCAACTTTACTTGATAAGAGCAATAACTTTGAAAAAGAAGAAGAAGATTATGAAAAAATTACAAATAAATTTATTTTTATGTTAGATAAAAATAGAAAACTGTTTTTAGATACGGTTTATGGAGTACGTAAACTTGCCAACGGTTCTTTTATGATTGGTGATACACCTATTGAATTTGAAGGTTCACATATTAAGCTTATTGGAAAGAAAAATTATTTAAAAACTGCTGGGTTACTTGAACTTTTATTTAAGCAGAAACCAAAAGAAGCTTTAATAAGTTCAGATGATTTTTCAAATTATAAAGAAATCCTCATTGCTACGAATGCACATCGAAAAAATTATAGTCCAAGTGAATCTGTCAACATAAGCAGGACTTCCAAGTACACTGATGTTATTGCAAAACTTATCAAAAGTACACCAAAGAAAAGTGGTGGTGGTGGTTCTTTAAAGAAGCATAAAAATATATTACCACAATTTATGATTGCAAAAAGACAATTTAATCCAGACTACATCTATTGGGATGATCCAAATGAACTTGTTGACCGTTTACGACTACTCATAGCATCACAGCAAGCTGGTAATCCAAGTCATAATAATGAGATTATGTCAATTATTGAAGAACTTCGTGAAGCTCGAATTATATATTAAGAGAGAGCATAAAGAAGAAGTGCTTAGTATAACAATGAGCATTGATGTGTTCGGACATTCTTTAACACGACGTGTTGCAAGTCGTGGACTACCTGGACCTTCTGGTATTGGATTTAAAGTTACTCCAAGTGGAGACTACAATATTGAAAACACAAGACTTTGTAACGTTAGAGACGCTGAAGAGCTTCATGATGCAGTAAATTTACGACTTGTACAACAAATTATCCGAAACGAGATAAAAACTGTCTTTCAAATTACATCTTCTTTAAGATCAGCCATTGATGATTTGAATATTTTAATACAAGTTGTTGAAGATAGAGTTAACGAAAAACTAAAACAAATTGAATTCCAACAGAATATTATTATCAAGGAAACTACATTTATTCCAAATGATGAATGATAAAAAGTTAACAGTTGTAACTGAACTGCATAAACAAGCGAGAAGGAATTATCCTCGTCGTAAAGTTCAAATGCGTGGCATAGATGAAACCTGGCAAGCAGATTTGGTAGAAATGATACCTTACTCCTATTCCAATAAAGGTTTCAAATACATGCTCACAGTAATAGACATATTTTCCAAATATGCCTGGGCTGTACCTGTAAAAAGTAAAAATGGAAAAGATATTTCTTTAGCCATGAAATTAATATTAAAAGAAGGTCGCATTCCAAAAAATTTACACACTGATAGAGGCAAGGAATTTTATAACTCTGAATTTCAGAGTTTAATGCAAGAATTCAATATTAATCTCTATTCGACTTATAGTAATTTAAAAGCATCAATTGTTGAAAGGTTTAACCGCACTCTAAAAAATATGATGTGGCCTGAATTCAACTTACAAGGCAATTACAAATGGATTAATCTTTTACCAATTCTCATATCAAAGTACAATAATAAAAAACATCGTACGATTGGTATGAAACCTAAAGATGTCACCGTAGAAGATACAAGAGAACTGATGAGACGTATCCGTAAACTAAGAAGAATTCCACTAAGAAGACAAAAATTTAAAGTTGGAGATAGAGTTCGAGTCAGCAAACATAAAAACATCTTTGAAAAAGGATACACCCCTAACTGGACAACGGAAATATTCACTGTAGATCTGGTTAAACGAACAAAACCAGTTACATACAAACTTACAGATTATGAAAATCAGCCAATCGAAGGTGGTTTCTACGAAGAAGAACTATTAAAAGTTAAATATCCAGATGTTTACCTCGTCGAGAAAGTCCTTAAAAGCCGTGGCAACAATGTATATGTAAAATGGCTTGGATTTGACAACTCACACAATAGTTGGATAAAAAAATCTGATATGTAATATATATAAAAATAGTTAAAGATGAGTTAAATATAGTTAAAATAAAGTTAAATATAGTTAAAAAAAAGTTAAAAATAGTTAAAGAAAGGTTAAAAATAGTTAAAATAAAGTTAAAAAAAGTTAAAATAAAGTTAAAGATAAGTTAAAAATAGTTAAATATAGTTAAAAAAAGTTAAAAAAAGTTAAAAATAGTTAAAATAAAGTTAAATATAGTTAAAAATAGTTAAAGATAAGTTAAAAATAGTTAAATATAGTTAAAAAAAGTTAAAAATAGTTAAAATAAAGTTAAAAAAAGTTAAAAATAGTTAAAATAAAGTTAAAAATAGTTAAAGATAAGTTAAATATAGTTAAAAAAGTTAAAAATAGTTAAAGATAAGTTAAATATAGTTAAAAAAGTTAAAAATTGTTAAAAATAGTTAAAGTAAAGTTAAAAATAGTTAAAATATAGTTAAAAAAAGTTAAAAATAGTTAAAATAAAGTTAAAAAAGGTTAAAAATAGTTAAAATAAAGTTAAAAATAGTTAAAGATAAGTTAAATATAGTTAAAAAAGTTAAAAATAGTTAAAGATAAGTTAAATATAGTTAAAAAAGTTAAAAATTGTTAAAAATAGTTAAAGTAAAGTTAAAAATAGTTAAAATATAGTTAAAAAAGTTAAAAAATGAATGTAAAGTTAAAATAAGTTAAAAGTAAGGTTAAATAAAGTTAAAGAAATGTAACTAGATTAAGGCTCTAATAAATAAAATAAACATAATATAAAATGTACAACATCTTTTTTATTAAATCAACCATTTCTCCATTTCTGACAAATTATAATTTTTTTTCTATTTACATTGTTTCATCATCATCATCATCACCGTCATTATCGATTTTTATAATTTTACAATGTCCCCATGCAAGAGTATCGGTGCTATTGGATAACAGAAATCTTTTATCGTCGTAAGGACTTAAAGCAATTTTTGTTTGTTTCAAAGTTTGTACTTTGTGTAGTGTAGTGTTGGTTCTAGATTGAATTTCAACATTTCGTAGACAATATACATAATCGTTAAAATTAATATTTTTCTTATCAACTCCAGCTTTTACACCTTTAGCCTTTTTTATGAAATCTTTCTCTTCAACGCGGACGCTGTACATTTTGCTCCGCAAGCCAACAAATTCTGTGACAATTTTACCACAGCATTCATCTTTCATGAGTCCTAATATCTTTTTGTTGGCTTGCGGAATATTGTAGACGTTATTAGCCGGATAATCTGAAGTATCGAATTTGTGAATATCTTCTTTCATGTCTGCATAAATGTCAGAGCATTTGATTTCATAAATAAGGCTGTCGGTGTCGGTGTACAATAATTTCAATATCTTTGCATCATATTTTTTTAGCATATAATCATAATGAAAGTCATAGATCAATGTTTTTGAAACGTCCAAGACTGCCAAACCAATATAAAGTGGCTTGTTCATTAAAACCTCCATTTTCCTTAGTTCCACACCAACCAAGTTTTCGTTAAAGATGGCTCTGCTGTGGAAATTAGGTTTGGAGATTAAGGCTTCAGCTCCATATCTACCCTCCCACTTTGTCACAAGCTTAATGTCAACATGTTTTCGCACGTTCTCCATTGTTTTGCCAAATACCGCGTTGTTCATTAGTTTAAATAAGTTTTTCTCGAATTCATTTTTAGCATTAGTTCTGCGTTCAGTATTGAAATCAATATAACTTTTTAACCACGTGGATTGCTCAAATTTTAAAACACGGTGAATTTTAACTAGTACAAGACCGTTGGCAATAGCTTGTTTTAAAGCACGATAATGGAGAACGTGCTTTCGTTTTGGTAGGAGAGTAGTTAGGAGCTTCTGCTCTTTTGATCCTGGTGGCTTCGAGCGTTCAGGACAAAACGGAAAATCACTGTGTTTATCATGCAATTCCTCGGGATAATCTAAATCAACTTCTAAAATGTAGCCAATTGGCCCATCATCTGAAATGTTAAAATCGAAATTGTTATCAATATTTTCAATCCACTCGAAACCACCATACGGAAGCGACTGCACCATTGCCCAACCATAAAGGTTGTTTGCGTCAAAGTATACAATATAAGACGTCTCATCGTTTTCATTATAATTCGTCATGTATGGATTATTAGCTTTCGCGTAACGATTGCAACACTGACTCACCCCACCTCTTATTCCTCGTTCAATGTACATTACCATATCTATATCTGTAAGAAGTTCCAGTCTTATATTCGTATACTTTAACATGGCATCCCATGTCAGTCCTGGCGTTGTATAATAATGCGCAGGATCAAGACCGTAAGCTATTATACACTGATTCCTAAAATTTTCAAAAATATCCGCGAGTAACAATACATCGGTTTGCATATATAAAAAAACATAATCACCTAGATTTTGACAATTAAATTCATTCCACACATTCTGTGCATGTGCATAATCTTCCTCTGATACATTTGAATCGTTTAAAGTGCTATAAAATTTTTCTTTCTGTGGTAATTGAGTTTCGTCGAGTTTTTCTCTTGAGTCAATATACTCATAGGGAAAAACTCCTTTTCGTGTTAACAATTGAATTTTATCGTCATTGTAATTAGAAAACACTGAATTTACAATTTTATATTCGTCGAGATAGGATGCTAACTTGTCCAATGATGATGCCATGAATTTAAATGAATCTATAAATCGAAATTTGATAAAACTACCTTTTACGTTTTTAGTAAAGCTGATATACTTTTCTTTGTTTATGGGAAGTAGATAAACATTTCCTTCAAATCCAGTAGCAATTGCATCAATTATAAAGTGCGCGTCATAACCGCTTAAGTTATGAAAAACAACAGGAATGATCTGCGATTCATGATAATTAATATTACAATCACGATGTGCGGGGCCACGATACTTCCCAGTTAGATGACAATGGTCTCTTACTTTTATATCCCCATGCTTGATTTTATTTCTACAAATATGACATGTACTTGCATTTCTAAAATCAGCAAGTTGCTGAGGACTTAACACTTCCATTGGTACAGGATTTTTAAATGTCCTATCAAGATTGTCAGACAAATTTTTTTACTCAGTTGAAAACCATTTAGCTGGATCTTCTTCATCTTTTGGAGATGCTTTGTATATGGACAAGGAGTCATCAAAGGCACACTTTAAATAATATCCAATACTGAGCATTTTGTCGTTTTGAAAAACCTCAGTATTGCTGGCTTGTTGTAGTGCTTCGGCAGGAATCAAGAGACTTTCACAATCCGCATATATTATAAATGGTACACGCTCCTTGTTTTGGAAATTTTTAAATTCAACAAAATTTTTACCTGGATTCGGCAGCACAATACTCGTTTCATTGATCTTTTTACAATTTTCTTCATGTTCAAAAAGTTTATTTTCATCTCCAAAGTAATGCAAGCAACGATCGCAAATGTACTTTTTGTTTTTTTTCTTGGACAATTGACTGCTGACAAGCTTTGATAAATCTTTGATCCAAACATAATGGTAGTTAAAAGAGATGATGGTTACTTTATCGATCTCCTCATCCTCCTGCGTAAAATTTTCATCAATGTAGTGGTCCTCAATTCGAAGAAGATTTACATGAACAACCTTCTTTTGTGATGAAAGATGTAACGGAGCCACTGTAAACTTTTCAGCCTTTTTGACAAGTCCATATACATTAACTGAAATGTTGTTCTGAGCTTCAAATTTTAAAATATCTTTGAGTGAAACAGGGAACTCAATTCCACTGAAATTAAGTTCATTCTCATAAAGCCTATATTTAGAAACTCGATCTGCATGGTTTTCAACTTGGTGTAAAGCTGACAAAATTGACCATTTAAAACATTGATTGTCTGTATTTTGAACATTAATACAAGCTTGTTTCCTTTTAATGAAAAGTGGCAAATCAATATAAGAACCAGCACGCATGGGATTATACTTGTTAATGTTAACCTCCAACCTTTGAATAGAATCAAGTCTCCAATTAGAATCTTTTTCTTGGAATTCTTCGATTCGTCTCAAAGTTGGTTGTTTAACATTCTGATTGTACCACTCATCTAACTGGGTTGTAACTAAAATCTCACATGTTTTCGCGATAAATGTCTTTATATCTGACATTTCTCCATCACCTACAATTAAATCTTTTTTAAATTTAGCACACAAAACTGTATAAACTTTTAGCGGACCAAATTTGTTTAAAGCTGTTTTAAATAAACTTTTAAATAAAACAAAAGCATCATCAAAGAACTCATTAATATCCTTGTAATCAATATTAATAATAGCACTAGTTTGTAAACGATCATCAAATGCTTTATCAAAATCTACCCATTTCATTCTATCATTACTCACTTGCAAGCCCGCGCCACGTTTCATTAATGCATCGAAATGGCAACGCAAGTATTCAAGTTTCTGACTTAAATTTAAGCATCTTGATTTTTGATAAGATTCAAAATCAGATCTTCGCAAAAATTTTCTAAATATATTTTTGTAACGCTGACACTTGTTTTGCCATTCGAATGCGTTAACGAACTTTTCATCACCTGTCATTGACATTGTGGTGATGAGTTCACTTTCAGCGATTTTAATGAAGTTGTCAGACTCCTGACAGACTTCATTAAATTCATCATTCTCGAGCCGTTGTCGAGATTTCTTCTGTGGCTTACACTTTGGCATCTTAAATACTAAACCTGAAAAAACCTAAAAACAATCTTAAAAAGAAAACACCTAAAAATAAACTGAAAAAGAAAATAAAGTAAAAAACCTGAAAAGAAATTAAAAAAAAAACTTAAAACCTAAGAAAATTCTGGAATTAAAAGATACAGAAAATAAAAAACCACCACCTTAAATTATATACAAATGAAAAAGAACTAAAAATAAAAAAACCCTGAAATTAAACATCCACCACCATAAATCAAATACAAAAAATAATAGAACAAAAAGAAATAAAAACTAAAAAAACCCTGAAAATAAATATCCACCACCTTAAATCAAATACAAAATAGTAAAGCAAAAAGAAATAACTGAAATAAGAAAAAACTCTGAAATTCTGAAAACTCTATAACTATTCTGCTGCACCTGAAAGAAAAGAATGATGCTGGTGGCCTGAGCGGCGTGCTTTATACACTACGCCCCACCATGGCGGTCCCCACTACGGCGCTCCCCACTATGACGCGCCCCACCACCTAGCTGGCGCGCGCAATCAGGCGGGCCCACCGCTGCGCGCTCCGCTGTAGGCATGGAAGGGAGTCCCCGGCTGAGTTCACATCGATGCGGGGAGAGACGATACTCAGCATATGAACCCAGGGCTGGCAGCGGCATAGACGCAACCAGCAATGGGGATCCCTCTCGATGTTTTTTTCCATACAGGTTTAGATATAATTATATACAATGAAATTTTAAACTTTAAATTAACTTTAAAATAGGTAAAATAAAATGGAGCCATCTTGCGGTGGCAGCTGGAACTAACTCGGTTGGTAATGCAGAACACCAAGCCACTTGAAAATAATATTTTAAAAATTTAAAATTCCCGCCAAGGGGGCTTGAATTGGTCGGTAATCGAAAGTGGCGCCATCTAGCGGTGGCAGCCAAAAGTAACTCGGTCGGTAAAGTAGAATGCCAAGCCACTTTTAAAAATTCAAATTTCCCGCCAAGGGGGTTTGAATTGGCCGGTAATCGAAAGTGGCGCCATCTAACGGTGGCAGCCGGAACTAACTCGGTCGGTAAAGTAGAATGCCAAGCCACTTTAAATTAAACTTTTAAAAATTCAAATTTCCCGCCAAGGGGGTTTGAATTGGCCGGTAAAATGCCAAGCCACTTTTAAAAATTCAAATTTCCCGCCAAGGGGGTTTGAATTGGCCGGTGGCGCCATCTAGCGGTGGCCGCCGGAACTAACTCGGTCGGTAAAATAGATTCCTACATTACCGACCTCGGTCGGTAAGTGGTCCCGCACCCGCCTTGTTTAACTACTTACGTATAATAAGACATACGTATTTGAAACAAGAATTATACGTATAATTATACGTATAATTATACGTGTCTATAATTTTTAATATTTAGGAATATATAAATATGGAATATATTTTTGTTTATTAATATATACCTAAATATTATAAAATATTGAGAAGTGTAATTACACGTATAAATATACGAATAATTATACGTATTATTATACGTATAATTATACCTATAATAGTACGTATAATTTTACGTATAACAATACTTATAATTATACGTATTATTATACGTATAATCATACTTGTCAATATTTTATAATAGGGTCAACTGGGGTAAATCCGAACGATTTTAGTAAGTTTCAACAATAACATAAGTTTTTTCTTTAAAAAAAAAATACTTCCGGTATTCTGGTGCATGAAGTTGTTACTTTACTTCCATAGAACAATTTTATGGGGTAGAAAAAATTTTTGATAAATTACAATCGCAGGAAACTTAGCGTTCGTATTTACCTCGATACTTTGCAACTTTCCTAAAATATGGGGGTAAATACGAACGCCATTGTATTTCAGAAAAATCTTAGGGAAAATAAATTTAAAGTATTGCAATTGTTAAACTTATATAAAAACTCAAAAAAAATACGATAATAAACCTATTATGTAATAATGCATCATATATAAATACAAAAATCAAACAGGTTAAAAATTAAAATGCATTACACAATTAAAACCTTCAATAACTTTATCAAATCATAACGGATTTTTGCAAAACTTGGTACAGAAAGTATTTTGGAGTGATTGAATGTAAATACAAAAATAAAAGTCAAATTTTTTAAATTCAAAATGGCGTACTTTCCTAAAACTTATTTTTAAAAATGATCAAATTTGCTAACCCTGAAACCCCCCGAGTAACAATTTTCGAGCGAATCCAATGAATTTTTTAATTCTCGTCCGCCATTTTGAATTTTGAAAAACTGACTTCAAATTGGTAATTAGCGACCCCAAAAACCGTAGAATACCAAATTTTATTAAGATCCTGAAAAACTTTTTTCAACAAACCATTTGGCAAAAAAATTGAAACACTCCTTCGAGAGAACAGAGATTAAGTTTCTGCTTATTAATTACTAACGACTTTTTTCTATGTACTTTTATAATGTTAAAATAATAGTGTAATGAAATAAAAACAATTTTGTGTGGCTCTGATGTAAAAAAAAATTATTGAAAATACCGTTCGGATTTACCCCGGTCTTCCAATTTTCCTGGGTAAATACGAACGGTCTGATATTATTAATAAAATTTTACAGAAGGCAAAAATCAAATATAGTTTCTGTTCTAGTATTCATAACAAACAATTATAAATAATAAAATGAATTTTTAGCTTCTTTTTCTTCAAATACGAGACAAAATACTGAAAGAGTGTCATCTTTGATTTTCAATCTTTTTTGCAATACTTGTTATCCTTGTTTATGCTGTTGCTAATTAACAAACAAAAAATGGGATAATACTTAGAATCTCTTCAAGAGGATCTGAGGTAAAAATTCTCATATCGAACTTATTTTTAAAAATTTTAATTAAGCTGAAATAATTAGCGTTCGGATTAACCCCCCGTTCGGATTTACCCCGACTGACCCTATTTAGGTATATATTAATAAACAAAAATATATTCCATATTTATATATTCCTAAATATTAAAAATTATAGACACGTACAATTATACGTATAATTATACGTATCTTGTTTCAAATTCGTATGTCTTATTATACGTATAATAATACGTGTTGTTTTTCAATTTTTTTTGAATATTTTTTTCATGAAAGAGCTATTAAATATGAGTAATTAAAAAAATTCATTTTGATTGGTTAAGAGTTACAAAAGTTATAATAAATCAAAAAAAAGTTACAAAAAAATTAAATTTGCAATATTTTGAATTTTTTTGAAAAATTCTTGGGATTTCTTATTTTAACCATTAAATTAACTTAAATTATCAAAATACCATTTATTCGGTGCGATTACTTGATGTCGAATCCCACTTGAAACAATGAAAACTAAAATACATATTTTTTCCAAACGAGTTCA